CACATAAAATAAAAAAATTATATCTTTATGTTTGAAGCCTGAAATGTGGCAAAAGGTTGAAAAGTTCAAGGGGGCCGAATACTTTCGCAAGGCACTGTAGACAAAGAAATGCATTTTCAAAACCTAGCCACATCTACACATTTCCAAAGCATCTATAAAAATGCTATAGTGACCCATTATGTGATAGCATCTCTGAGGGGTCATTTCTGCTGTGTAAAGCAAATGTAAGTGAATCATTAGGCTTCTCAGAATTTTAATTAGGATTGTTAGATTAATTTGTGTTATACAAATATTCTCCCAGGTGATTTATTTTCTTTAGAAATATTTTCATCCCTTGGTAACAGGCATTGTTAATCTTGTTGAGTAGTAAGAATAAATTATGTTTTAGAATGTACAAGTTGAAAATTACTAATAGTGCTAAAAGAAAAACAAACATTTTAAAGAAGTTTCTGAAATATCATGCATAAAGGATACATGCATATAATGTAGACATGGCTATTTTCACTTTCAGTGTTTCAGACTAAAATACTGATGTGAATATTCACAGAAAAAACTGCACATTAGCAAGTGAACAGGGATTTCCCAAAGAAAGCCCACAGCTGGTTCAAACAAGATGGCGGTCTTCTTGGATCACACTCCCCCGAAAACTTTGTTCTCTTCCCCTGCAGCTGCAGCTGCTGCCTCAGTCACCTGACCAGGTGAAGGAAGGCAATTGGTCAGGTGATTGTTTAAAACCCAGAAAGTGGCATTTGTGGGGGGTCAGTTGGTGGGTTTGTTATGTGTTGCACTCTGTGTGTGTGTTACTTGCCGGAGAGGGAAGATCTCACTGTTTAACTGAAGTTTTGATAAGAGTCTTGGTGACTGACTCTACTGCTTAGCTCCCCAGTATGATAGATATGGACTTAGTGAAGTTTAATCAGGAGCTCAAAAGGGATCTTAGAATTTTTGTTTTGATGTTTGGATTTACGGGGAGTCTTTTGATTTTTCCTCACTGCACTGTAAATAAAGAGCACTATTTTTAGTCTTATAGCTGTGTATATGTATGTCTGGTATCCTAGACCTGCCTATTTTCAAAATCCTGTCATGGCATGCCCAAGCAGTGTCAACCACATTAAAGTTCTGTAAATCAGCCTGTACCAGTGTTCCAGGTGCCTAGTCTGAAGAGGTGTCTAATTTACTGAAGCATAAAGGATGTGCAGACAAAATTGGTCAGAAGCATTTAAACAAATCTAGTAGATTAAGCTAAAATATTAAGTCATGTCACTAGTCAGCTGTGATAAAATTTCACAAAGCAACAGGGCACAATTAATAAAGCGCTACCTGAGATAGGATTGGGATTAGGAGTTCTACTGTAGTCTGATGGTGAAACTCTTGTGATTTCCCTGGTAACTGCAGCAAAGTCAGAAATGATGGTAAAAAATAGGCTGCTCCTCCTACCCCTTCCGGTTAGAGCAGGAGTCCCCGGTCCTGGTCCTGAAGGGGCCTGTGTGTTGCAAGTTTTCCAGGCTTTTTAAAAATGCCACCACATGGTCAGTAATAAACTGCCCCAATTAAGTCAATAATACGTTGTTTCAGATTAAGACTCTGCTGGACTGCAAACCTATTAACACACCAGCCCTCCAGGACCCCTGCTGTAGAGAATGCAGCCTACCAAAAGATCAACAGGTCAAGCAGGGACAGATCAGGGGAGCTTATCTGTCCATCCTCCTTTTTCTGTGTAGTCCTGAAGTTGCCACTGTTAGCCGAAACATGAAGGAAACATTTTGCAGTTTCATACTGAATCTAAGCTGTAGTATTTATTAGATAATATTTTTTTGTGTAAAACAAAGCTACACAGCTATGTTCACCAGAAAGTGTTTTATCTTTGACTATTTGCTCCTGTATCTGGGAAACAAATTATTGTTGTAATCAATGACTGACATGGTTCATATGATGAATTGATTCCAATCTCATAGGGGAGCTTTTATATCTCTAAAGTATACAGTGCCTATAGAAAGTCTAAACCCCCTTTGGACTTTTTCATATTTTATTGTGTTACATGGAACCATTATGTATTTAACTGAGAAATATTTCCACTCAACACAAAGTAATAACTAAGTGGAGAAGCTCCCAGACACAGGTG